CCAGGTCAAGGCCCGCACCCCGCCAGTCGCCCCACACACAGAGGGCGACCCGCGGTGGGGACAGGGTCACGAGCAGGTGAGACGGGCCAGCCTCTCGGTCCCTCGAGCCCCGGCTGTCAGATACCGATCGCCGATGGCAAACTGGGAACCTGGGTGGGTGGAGGCAGGGGGTTGGGCCGGCTGCCGGGGAAGATGGCCCTAATCACAGGATAGGCCTAGGGACCGTACCCACGCACCACTTTCTTGCGCCAGGCCTCTAGTTGTAAATAATGCTGCAGGGAACATAGGAGTACATATATTCTTTTGAATTAGTGTTTTGAGTTTCTTGGATATATTCCCAGAAGTGGAATCACTGGGTCATAAGGCAGTTCCATTTTTAATTTTTTGAGATAACTACATGTTTCCCACAGTGGCTGCACAATCTGCATTTCCACCAACAGCGCACAAGTGTTCCCCTTTCTCCACATCCTTGCCAACACTTGTTTGTTGCTCTGTTGACCATAGCTATTCTGACAGGTGTAAGGTGATATCTCATTGTGGTTTTAATTTGCATTTTTCTGATGATTAGTGTAATCGGGAATCTTTTCAGATGTCTATTAGCCACCTGTATGTCCTCTTTGGATAAGTGTCTATTCAGGTCCTTTGCCCTTTTTAAAATTAGATTGGTTTTTGCTGTTGAGTTTTATAAACTCTTTATAAATTCTGGGTATTTATTGCTTATCAGAAGTATAATTGGCGAATATGTTTTTCCATTTAGGGGGTTGTCTTTTCATTCTGTTGATGGTTTCCTTTACTGTGCAAAACCTTTTTAGTTTGATATAGTGCAATTTGTTTATTTTTTTCTTTTGTTTTCCTTGCCCAAGGCAATATATCAGAAAAAATATTGCTACGAGAAATGTCTGACATTACTGCCGATGTTTTCTTCTAGAATTTTTATGGTTTTGAGTGTAACATTTAAGTCTTTAATCTACTTTGAGTTTATTCTTGTGCATGGTGTAAGAAGTTAGTTTAGTTTCAGGCAGACTTTTTAAAGCAGACAGTCTCCCTTAGGCACTTTTGTGGATTCCTTAGAGACCCCATTAGAAACATTTGACCTCAAATCCTCTAAATTCAGGCAATTTCTTTTTTGCAAGTTGCAGCTCCTTCCTAAGTCTCTCTTTCTCTTTTTTCTTCTGAGTTCATTATGATGGGATAGGATGACTCAAGTCTAGTTTCCTTACAACTAGAATTTAGCAAAATGTTTTGCACTCAAGAACTACTTTAAAAAAAAACGTATTTGATTGAAACATTTCCATTTTAAATGTGTAACTGAGCTCCTGATATTTTTTATTTTCCTTTTTCCATTCTTCTTTCACCAATCTAAATATATATATAAAAGGCTAATATGCAGAGTGTCCCCTTGGGAGTTCAACTGGGAGACTGGGAGTTCGATTGCTCGCTATGACGTGCACTGACCACCAGGGGGCGGCATGAAACAAAGGAAGGCCCCGGCCGTCAGCCAGAAGGCTCTGATTGGCCCTGATTGCCAGCCAGGCCTAGAGACCCTACCCGTGCACGGATTTTGTGCACTGGGCCTCTAGTACATCAATAATTGAGAGTACTATAAAAATTATTTGAGACTGGCCTCAGATCCAGACTTGACCTTGAACAAGTTATTTATTTTCTTTGCCTTAGCTTCTTCATCACTAAAGTATGTAGGATTCTTATACATATTTCTAAAGGTCATTGTGAGAATTGGTTCAATAAATTTTGGCTGAACTTTGCTATATGCTAAATAATATTTGAAATATTAGGGACACATTAGTGAACAACATCTACAAAACTAAATTAAAATTCCTGCCCACATGGAGCTTACATTGCAGTAGAATAAAGTTAAATCATGTTAGATGCTTAGAAGAGTACCAAGCACATAGTAAGGTCTTAATACATTTTAGGTATGTTATTATTCATCCACTTGAATGAATGGCTTATTCTAAGGCAGTGGTTCTCAACCTGTGGGTCACGACCCCTTTGGCAGTCAAACGACCCTTTCACAGGAGTCGCCTAAGACCATCCTGCATATCAGATATTTACATTACAATTCATAGCAGTAGCAAAATTACAGTTATGAAGTAGCAATGAAAATAATTTTATAGTTGGGGATCACAACATGAGGAACTGTTTTAAAGGGCCAGAAGGTTGAGAACCACTGTTCTAAGGTATGATTCGGAAGGAAAAGAGGTTCTTTGTACCTAATAAAGTACCCCAAATCCTTACATTATGTCAATTGGGTTAAGACAGTGGAGGGCCCAGTGAATATCGATATCTTATAGAGACAAATTCCTATCAAGCATCTATACAAATAAAAGGGTAATACGCTAATTAGGGCAGACGTCTTCCCGACATCCATCTGGATGTCCATCCAGACAAAGCCACAGTGGCTGCGAGGCCCAGGGCTAAGGCAGCCATGGGTTCAGGCAGCCTTGAGCCCCAGTGGCTGTGAAGCACAGGACTCAGGCATCCATGAGCCCCGGTGATTGCAAGGCCTGGGCCTCAGGCAGCTGTGGGCTCAGGCAGCTGTGAGCCCCGGCGGCTGAGAGGCCTGGGGCTCACGGAAGCAGTGGGCTCACAACAGTCGTGGGTTCAGGCAGCCATGAGCCCTGGTGGCTGCAAAGCATGAGGCTCATGGAAGCCATTGGCTCAGGCAGCTGCAAGGCCCAGGGCTCAGGCAGCCATGGGCTCACAACATTTGTTGGTTCAGGCAGCCATGAGCCCCAGCGGCTGCGAGGCCCGGAGCTCAGGCCTCACAGCCACTGTGGCCGTCAATGGCAGCAGCAGCAGTGTGATGGGGGCGGCGCCTTCCCCTGATCAGCCTGGTCTCCTCCCACAGAGTGAGGCCAAAATGCGGCTTAGGCCATAGTGAGTGGGCCTATACTGTCCGTAGACATGCCCTTAGGGCTCCTGGACTGGGAGAGGAGGCAGGCCAGGCTGAGGGACCCCGCAGTGCATGAATTTTTATGCACCGAGCCTCTAGTTCATAATAAGATAACTTGAAAGTATTTAGACTCTATGCTTAATGAAGGTCCAGATCTTAAGTGTTATGTTTATCACTAGTGGCCCAGTGCACGAATTCATGCACATTGAAAGGAAATTAATTAGAAGAAATATTTTAATATCACTATTTGCCCTTTCTCTATAACAGAAGTGTCAACCAAATTCATGATCGACAATGACAGATTGAAACACACACATGCAATTGGCGCCAGCAAGAGCTTTATATGTATCGCGTATGCACGAGTCAACTTAGCCTTTTATATATATAAACTTGCTTAATTAGACCTGATTTGTGATTTAGCTAAACTTTTCCCAGCCCAGTGAAGCACCCCAACTTCTCTTTCAGGTGATTGTCAGCAACACTGCAATAAATATCAACATGAAGCAGATTATTATTATAGATCATGCAGAGAGAACAAAGGGTAAAATATTTTACTGTAGCAGTGTTTGACTATATTCTGCGCAGTGAGAAAACCTGAAGTCATTTTCAAGTTCCACCATTTCTTACTTCTTTTCAGTCGTGTCAAATTTCTAAGTTTTCTAAATCTCCATTTTCTGGCTAATGAAAAGAAAATAGGATTCCACTGAGTCTCCTATCTACCTAATCCAGGACTTCTGTGAGGATCAAATGAGATGAGGCTCAGGAAAACACTTCCCAGACATTTGGTTACAGTGTAAAATGTTTTTACCTGGCTATGAAGCAAGTTGTGTTTCTGGGCTGAAGAAACTGCAAGGCTAGTCATTGCTAGGGAGTGGAAGCCAGGTGTTGCTACTTGACGTCATTACCCAGATGGAGAGAAGGACACTTAGCATATTAGCCTTTTTTATAGATAGATTGGATTCATAGCCTTTAGCATGGAGCTTGATAATCAGTAGAGATTCAGCAAATATTTGTTCAGGAATTAATTTGATACTCACCTAATTTTGAAGATAAAGGTGAAGATAGGAAGCTGGGGATAGGAGACTGCTGAAGACAAGGAAAATGTTTGAGGCAAATTTGTGTTTCACAATTTCCCCTAGAACTGGTGGTAATTTGACATCAATAAGAAGAATAAGAAATATCTGCTTCAGAAAAATAAATCACTTTGGGTTAAGATAAAAGAATACTGCCCTGGGCCAATGTGGTTCAGTTGGTTGCATGGTCCAGTGTACTGAAAGTTGGTTAGTGGTTTGATTCCCAGTCAGGGCACATGTCTGGGTTGAGGGCTCTATCCCCGATAGGGGGCATGCAAGAGAAAGCTGATAGATGTTGCATTTTCACATCAATATTTCTCTCTCTACCTCTCCCTTCTTCTATCTCTAAAATCAATAAAAAATACTTTTTTTTAAAAGAAGAAGATTGACATAATTATTTGGACAATCAGGACCTTTGAAAATACCTGAATTACCTACAGGCAATATATAATTCTAATTAATGAAAATTTAAACAATTCTGAAGTGTTTTCCCCCTTGTTTAGAAGAGTTTTGCTTTGAACTTAATTTTGTATATAGATACAGATAGGTAGAATTGCCCAACAAAGGTTATTATGTTAACTATGAGGGAATAAAAATGAAAATAAATTGTGACCGTATGGAGCTAACCACATTCTCATTGCACATTCCCGTTGCAGCCGAGCTAATATTTTCATATGGGCAAATTTTTGCTCATATGCCCTGTCTAAGCAGAAGGGTCTAAGCCATTAATTCAGGGAGTTGTTCCATAACTACTGTTTTCTATTCATATTAGCATAAAGTAATAATCATAAAGGAGAAATTTACTGAAAGCCTCTGCCTTTTTTTTTTAATCTCCAGTGTTCAGACTGCATCATAGTGCTTCCGATACAAACGACAAAAACCGAGTTAAAAGCAGATTAAAGAAGTTTATTACCCGAAGACCTTCCCTGAAAACTCTGCAAGAAAAAGGACTTATTAAAGGTACAAGACATTTTATACTTTTTACGGTAACAGTGATAAATGAATGTGCCTCTGTGACCATAGTTATTCAGCTCTAAAGGAATATTAGGATTTTTTATTCTTTTTAGGTTGCTTATTGGATGTTCTGCTCTATAGGAGAGAAAAGATAATTGTCCAGAAAAATAATCCTGAGAAATTAAAGGGTGCATCGTAGAATTATTGCAAGAAATACCTAGTTTTGCCCTCAGATCTGAGCTCTGCGCCAGGAATAGAGAAGAGATATCTTAGTGGCCCATCAGAATGACTCCATGTCTCCTTGTGTCTGAACAATTCCAGTTTATACCCATCATCCCAGTATGCTTAGGAACGCATCCCTTTCCACTATTAAACATGTCCTGATTTGATAATAATGTATCCGATCATCCTAGTCATTGTCTGAAGTAAATTCTAGGAAGAAGTGTTAGGAAGGAAGTCCAAGACAAATGAGTATCATGAAAATTTGGGGATTTGAGAACTGGAAGCTGAGAGCGCAAACTAAACTTAAATTAGCAGGTACTTCTGCAAATATATCTAAAGTAAATAATAAGATATCCTGGCACAATATAGCCACCAGAATAGAAAAAGATAAACTCTGGCATTACCCTAATTGGAATTCAGACCTTGGTTCTACCACTCATTTGTAATGACATTGGACAAGTTATGATCTCTCTGACCTCAATTATCTCATCTTTTAAATGGGAATACTTACACCCATCATTGACAGAAGTATTGAGAGAAATAAATGAGATAATTCATGTAAAACATTTAACAATTTCTGGAATATAAGTATTCAATTAATATTCACTGCTATTAAAGTTATTATTTATTACTTTTTTTATTAGTTAGCATGCCAGATGGATGGAAGGATGAATGGATAGATTGAACCAGGGATATAGAAATCTGTAACTGGAAATTAACTTATAGATCACAAAGCAAAAATATGTTATTTTCCTGACCAAGGAAACATATGTACCAAGTCCATTATTCTCCCTGTTTTTCAGATTTTCTAACTGATGAATATATTTTAAAGTTAAATTTTTTTTTTAAACTGAAAATGGGCTAAAATAAACTCAGAACAAAGTTGAAAGACTTATAAAAGTCAAAAGATGATTTAATATGCAATTTTTCTCAGGAAGAGGGCAAAGCAGATTTTCATATTTTAGCAATACTTAATATAAGAATTATTTAAATAGCTCACAATTAGCTGTTTGACCTAACAATTTCAGTTTATTTTGAAACAAATGAACTTATCACAAAAATAATCTGTCATTTTGAACCAGCCCTAGAAGGTGGAATTTTTGTGAAGCATGGACATAGGTATCATTAATAGAGTAGAGAATTCTTACAATGCAAGTATTTGGGGGTGGAAATATCACATAATTTGAATTGGCTCATCTCAAACTTTTACTCTGAAAATGTCCTTTTCATTGCCACAGACAATATTTGATCCTCTACAAATTCAATTACATCCTATATAATAAAACCCTAATATGCAAGTTGACCAAACAAAACAGTGTAAGATCTGTGGAATGACTGGTCGTTATGACTCGCACTGACCACCAGGGGTCAGACGCTCAACGCAGAAGCTGCCCCCTGGTGGTCATTGAGCTCCCACAGGGGGAGTGCTGCTCAGCTAGAAGCTGGGATCAAGGCTTGTGAGTGCAGTGGCAGTGGTGGGAGCCTCTCCTGCCTCCACTGCAGGCGGGTGGCAAGGAGGAGGTGTCCTGGACTGTGAGGCCTCGGGACTGCTAGAGGTTGTCCGATTGCCGGCTTGGGCCTGATCCCGGGATCGGGCCCAAGCCGGCAGGCGGACATCCCCTGAGGGGTCCTAGACTGCGAGAGGGCACAGGTCTGGCTGAGGGACCCTCCCCCCAGTGCATGAATTTCATGAACCAGGCCTCTAATATAATATTAGACCTACTATCTTTATTTCTACCTTAGAATTCATCCCATAGATTATCATTTTCTTTTCTTTTTTAAATATATTTTTATTGATTTCAGAGCTGAAGGGAGATGGAGAGAGAGAAAGAAATATCGATGATGAGAGAAAATCATTGATTGGCTGCCTCCTGCACAACCCCCACTAGGGATGGAGCCCCCAACCCCAGCATGTACCCTGACCCGGAATTGAACCATGACCTCCTGATTCATAGGTTGATGCTCAACCACTTAGACATGCTGGCTGGGCCCCATAGATTATCATTTTTTTTACATAGGATTCAGTTGCTGGTTACCTGCCATCTTGAAAAAAAATCAAATAAATCCAGATTATTAGCCCAAACAATCCAAATCTGACATAAAGTCTAAATTTTTCATGACTCTGGAAATATGGAAAGTCTTTTAATTCAGTGGCAGGGTCTGGCCCAATCAAAATGCTAAGGAATTAGTAACTATGGTGCTCTAGGATTGGTCTCGGGAAGCACCAGAGATGCTGGATGCCTAATGCAGCCTTGATGCTGATGCAATGGAACCCCTGAGCACACTCTGCTGTGTACATTTTCTATATTCCAGCCCCATTAAGTTTTCACCATCGCTGACCAATGAGTCAGTATTCATTAGTAGGGCTATGGAAAATCTTTGTGAAATTCTGATTTGATAAGCTGCCATTGTTGTCTCCAGTGGAATTTTCTTCCAAATACAGATCATTATGCAAATATAGTCACTTCTTGGGATTGTTTCAGTTTTACTGCGAATTTTTTAAAGGCTTTTACTGCGATCTTTTTTTAACTGAGTAAAAAGTATTAAACCAATTTTTAAAGCTACAGGCCCAGTATAATTTAATACTTTAAGTTTATATTTTTAGCATACCTAAGGAAAAGACTTAGAAAAGGTCTCAGAGGTTTTGAAGGGCTATAAAAATTATATAAAATAAATGAATGATTAATGGTTAAATAGTTAATTTCTCCAAGTAAAATGACTTAACTCTTTCAAGGAAAATTATTTAGAAAAAGCAAAAATGGCTTTTTAAATTGTTCTGTAGTGCATTTGCCCAAAGATTATGGATCAAGTTCTTTAAACTGTCTAATTGTCCAGACCGGAATACAGGCCTTTTTTATCAAGGTTCAGGAAAGCTGTGTGAGGTAGTTGGGGTCTTACAGTGTGCTTGCTGCTTCCTGGGAGGGGCTTTGCAGGGTCACAGACACTTTCCACAGTGGTTAGTCTTTCATGCCATGTTACCAACAGATTGAGAGGCGTGAGCTTTGAATTCAGCCAGTCTTTATGGAGCACCCCCTTAGAGTCAGGAAGGGCCGTGCTTTATTGACTTTATAATGCCCAGTATAACTGTGAAAAATGAATTGTCCCCATTTCATATGGTCCAAACTTAGTCAAAAACCCTTTCTTCAAAACGTTTTTTGTACTCAGGGACTCCTGGCCAATATGTGATTTCATTGGCTCTAGTATACATCTGGAGTTACTTGATGTGGCTGAATTTTCTAGTTTTTTAATATGAGTAATGAGAAGGGCACACTGTGATGCCAAAAAAGGGGCCCAAAGATAATTCTGAATGACCACCCAATGGAGAGAAATCTTCATAGTTCAGGTGGGTGCAGCAATCACTGTCCCATTGCAGTGGTAGCTTCTGAAAAGCCTTCCATTTCTCCAACTGCTTTCACATTTGGCAAGGGGGGGGGGGGGAAGGGGGAGATGGTGGCGCTTTAGCGCTTTTATTTTATTTTATTTTATTTTTTTAACTTTTTTTGTTGAAAGTATTACAAATGTTCCCCCTTTTTTCCCCCTTGGATCCTCTCCACCCTGTTCTGGCCCCCTCCCCAGGCCTTCCCCCTCACTAATGTCTGTCCATGGGCTATGTATATATGCATATAAATTCTTTGTTTAATCTCTTCTCATCCGCCCCCCCCCCTTCTCAAATACATTAGTCCGTTGCATGTTTCAGTGTCTCTGGATCTGTTTTGTTCATCAGTTATTTTCTTCATTAGATTCCACATAAAAGTGAGGTCATGTGATATGCATTTATTGCATTAAATACCTCATTGGAAATAAAACTTGAATCAATTTAATACATAAATTATTGAATTGAGAGGGTACATTTTAGGGTGGTAGGTATGTGTGTACAGATCCTCTACTTGCTTTTAGAACTGAAATAATAACTTTAGCATCAGCCAAACTACTTTATGTAATCTTTCAAGTAACAGCATTGACATCCAAGAACAGAAAACACCTGGCAACACACTTTTTAGAAAAGATAACAATTGCTTGGGGTTTTTTTAGGAGCGAGTAGTATTTCCTTATATCAAATGATAGAGAGAATTGTATGTTTAGAAAGTAGTTTCTTTCACTTAATATGGGCAAAACCATACTGGATAATGCTAGTAGAAATTGAAATCAATGCTGGACTAATTCTATTTTTTAGTTTGATATATTGTTTGATTGTGAATTTCTCATAGAAACTTTTTCTCCCAGAGTTTAATTTTTTTCTTGCTTTCAGGGCCTTTACATTATTAAGGGTTTGTTTAATTATCTCAATTAAACAGTCTATATATATTCTAGTCTAGAAATGTCTGCCTTGTCCCCCAGAATATCCTTCCACCTTCTTACACCAAGTTGCTTTGGTTGCTTTTCAGTCTTCACCTTTGTCACCCTGTGACTTCCTTTCACTGATTTTTCTGAGTTGTATTCACTGGCTTCTGAATCCCATGCCTTGTCTTTATTGTTTTAAATTCTTTTATTGCTATGTAACAACTTCAGTAGCTCATTTAGAAAACATGAGACCTTGACTGTCTAAACACATCTTCAGAATCCCCATGTACTTGATCAATAGTTTAGTTTGGCATAAAATTCCATTGCCTTTAGAATACAGAGTTGCAGATTCCATTTCTTATTTTTGTTACTTTGACTTTTTTTTTCTTTCAGCATCATTGGGGTTTTTTGTCTTTATTATTAGAGATTCTATAATCAAGATGATGTGCAAAGTTGGCAGAATTTTAAAATTTTATTATGCTAAGCATTCAACTTGAAAAATT